TGTTAATTGTCCATTAAGAACATGTAACCTGTAATTGATGACTCCAGAGACTCTTCTATGAAAAAAAATACAGATTATTGGTATATGGAGTTTATGACTTTCAATTTTCTGATCAGGAGCTTATTTTCCTCATTTCAGTTTATTCATAAAGAATGTTTGTTATGCTCTGCTCCAGATGCCAGCATTTTCTCTGCTACAGCATTGAGACTCATGGATAAGGGGCCCTGGGGTAAATTCATAACTGAATCTAAAATATCTTCCATCTGTATACTCTGTGTCAAAATAACTTCAATAACGAATAAAACACATAATAGTTTTACTTAAAAATATATGAAACTACATCTAATCAAATTGAACGACATGTTGTATTTGCATTTATGCTATCACTGTAAATTTAATACAGTCTTAAAGGAATGAAAAGAAATAAAAATGGACACAAATATACATATCCTTAAAACTAAGTGAAAACATCATACATATGTTCAATTGTAGCCTTAATTACCCACAAAAGTGAATGATGTAGATTCAAATTCAATTTAATCAAAGTTTTCCAATTTCCAGTGGAAAATTGTGTGGGCAGCTTTCATTATAGGCAGGCACAGTTAAGCTAATAAGAGCATTGACTATGTCATTTTTGAAATCATATACATGTAGGAATTACAGCAAGGAGGGAAACTTCTTTTTATTCATTAAAATAGCTAAAAGAACTCTTGTACTGGCTTGAAAGGAAAATCATCCTGAGGTATAACTAGAAGTAATGTCACAGGGTAACCTCAAATGAGATACCTTATCTGACTACTTTCTAAATAGGAAGGAAGTACAGTACGCGGAGTTCAACTATACTTTGTTAATAATTTATGAATCAACATGTATACTTTTTATTTACTTTCAATAAATAAAATAAATAATAGTCATTAAAATAAGCATTAGACTTCTTATCCTGGAAAATCAGTGGAAATATTACAATTTAAAGAAGGGGATAACATATTACATTTGATTAGAAATTCAGGTGGCAATTTTAAAATCATATTTCAGAAAAAGATGATTGAAAAACAAGGAAAAGTACAGTTGATACTTCTAATAAATATTTTGACAGCTACACATTTTGCCCAGGTGAAAAGATCTGCCTCATCCTAATAAATAAAATTTCATTTTTTAAGACATTGCTTTCTTTTGAATATGTTCTTTATGCATACTTTTTTTAAATAACCAACTTTTAAAAATAATCATATTTCACTTTGATCTACAGCAAAAGGAAAGTTGTTAAACCTGTTTATGATTATTGGACTGGAAAGCATAATTACTTTAGAATCCAATTTGTATTCATCAACTGTATCATTAAGAACAAACTCCAACATTTTGGAAATGTGGGTTTTTTAATAAAGGCATATAAAATTTTAAAAGCCTCTCTTTTCAAATAGTAAGCCCATATAAATTACAAAATCAAGTTTTGATCAATTTTTGCTTTTCACATGCAAACATCCACTAGAAAAAACCATCTAGTCAAATACTCACCAAAATGAGGAATCTGTTTCAAAAGGCCCTTTGGCAATAGGTCAGTTTGGCTATATTTGAATACTTATGTAAGGGAACTAACTCCCTTAGCAATTTAAATCAAAGAGCATTGGATCTTTTTGTAACATAGTTTTCAGTAGATTGAGATGAAATCTGCAATCTGCACTTGCTGTGTCCAGAAAAATAACCTTATTTTTTCTAATTACAGCTCTGCCAATATTTAGACAACTACATCTTTTAAACATCTTCTTTCTTCTCCTAACTAAACAATTGTCAGATTTATAACTCCTCATAGGACATAAATAAATGTCAGTTCACAATGCAGTGACCTTGTTTTGGATATACTCTGGTTTGTCAATCCTCTCTGCTCCATTTTTCAAAAAGTCTTCTAATGTAAAATATTGCCAGATTACTAGACTTAATAAAGAATCTCACCACATGTAATTAAACATCTATAAAGACAGAAAAATACTCATAGGAAGCCATGTAAAATATAACAAAAGAGTGAGAATAAGGCTTAGAAGGCCAAAATAAACCTTTTTGGTTTCATTTCAAAAATAATATAATGATAAGATTCACAAACAATATAATGGTAAGATTAAAAAGATTAGAAATATTTAGCATTCTGATGATGCTTCCATGAAAGGTGATTTAAAAAAGGCAAATGAGAATATTGGGAAGAATACAAAGGCAACAAAAAGTGATTTTAAAAATATGAGTAAATTTTTAAGACTTATCACAAAAACAGGATTAAGCAAATATTGGATTGAAAGGGTACACTGAGCCTAAGTCAGTTATATAAAAATCTCAAATGGTAAGGAAAAAAGAAAGACAATGCGAAAAAAGTGAAGAACAGAAAGACATAGAAAGAGTGGCAATATATAAATACATAGACCATTACAGTTCTAGAAAAGAAACACTTACATGTGGAACAGATGCCATCATTTATGAGCAAGTTTGTGAAATACTGTTTTTTATGCACTGAAGAGAGATCTTAACGGGTAGACTGATGAGAAAAAAAATCCCATTTGTGAATAAATTCTATTATAATCTTTAAATTACAAGATATAAGAAGAAAAGCTTATAATTATTCTTACAGCAAAAGCAAATAACAAACATAAATTGGAGGTGGCGTCAATATAAATTCCAAATGATTTTAGACACCAGATGTCTTCTATTTAAGAAGTAGTCAGAAAGATCTCTTTATAAAAGTAATACAGAAAACTTATAGATTCTATTTTTTACTTAATAAATTATTTGGGCTGTGATAAATGACTTATACTATGATAAAATAAAAATAAAATAATATAAAAGTTCAAAATAATACTCTAACTGGTTGCAAGCCAGCAGAAATATTATTGAAAATAGGAATGAAAAGTACTAATAATTTTAAATGTGGTTATTTTAATGCACATCCTAGAGAGGTCTACAATGTTTAAAATAATAAGTATCAAATGTACTTGTCTGCTAGGGCTGATGTAACAAATATCACAGACTGAGTGGCTTAAACAATGGAAATTTATTTTCTCACAGTTACTTTGTCTTGAAATACAAGAAGAAGGTGTGGGAAGGGTAAGTTTCTTTTGAGGCTTCTCTCCTTGGCTTGTAGATGGCCTTTTCATTGTGTCGTTGTGTTTAGGAAAAACCCAAACTGTTTTTGTCCTCTGCTCTCACCTCACAACAATCAAGACAGAAGACTTCAACTTGATAAAGAATAGCTACAGAAAACTTAGAGCTTTCATCATACTTAGTGATGAGAAACTATATATTTTTCCCGTAAGATCTAGAACAAAGCAAAAATGTCTTCTCTTACCACTTGTATTCAACATCATACTGGAAGTCCAAGCTAGTGAAGTAAAGCAAAAAATGGGAAATAAAAGTTATAAAGATGGAGCATAAGAAATTGAACCATCTTTATTGGTAAATGATATGGTTATTGACCAAAGACTAAAAAAACAAACAAAGAAAACACATACTTCTGGAACTCAAGTGAATATAGCAAGATTTCGGAGTATAAGGTTAATATACTAAATTCTATTGTTTTCCTTTACACTAGCAATTAACAACTGGAATTTGAAATTTAAAATAATGTCATTTATAATACCACCCAAAATACTTGAGTTTATATCTAACAAAATATGTATTATATAAAATATACAAACAGAAAACTACAAAATTCCTGATAAAGGAACTCAAAGTAGATCTAATGAATGGAGAGATGTTTGGTGTTCATAGACTGTAAGACTCAATACTGTATAAATATCAATTTTTACTAACGATATAAAGAATCAACACAATCTCAATAAAAGTATCAGGAATCTATTTTGTAGGTATTTATACATTAATTCTAAAGTTTATATGGAAGTGCAAAAGACCTAGAACATAATCTAAGACAAAACAGAACAACAAAGTTGGATATACTATCCTATGTTAGGAATTCCTATAAAGCAGGGAGGCATGGTGTATCACACCTGTAATCCCAGCACTTTGGGAGGCCAAGTCCGGAGCATTATTGATGCCAGAAGATTATGACCAGTCTGAGCAATATAGTGAGAGTCTGTATCTACAAAAACCGTTTTAAAAATTAGCCGGGCATGATGACAGTTGCCTGTAGTCCTACCTACTCGGGAGGCTGAGGCAGGAAGATCACTTGAACCCAAGAGTTTGAGGCTACAATGAACAATGATAGCTCCGCTGCACTCCAGCCTGGGCAACAGAGAGACACCCTTATTCAAAAAAAAAAAGAAGAATTACTGCAACAGTTACCAAGACAGCATGATACTAATATAAATTAACTATATAAATTAGTATTTAATATAGCTGCTGGCAATTAACTAAATGTTTGTGTTTCCCCAAATTCATGTTTGTCAACCTAAATGAAAAAAACAGAGAGTGGCTCTCTCAAAGAAAAATATATTTATTTGGTAATAAGTCATTGCAGTGGGAATGAATACATGTGCCATAGCAAACTATGTACACATTCAGGGAGGTAAAGGGAAACAAAGAATTTTAAAGGAAAAATGAGGAGGACCACATGATATTTTAAAATGATTATCCTTGGCTAAAAGGATTAATAACAAGGGTGATACCAGTCCAAAGCTGAACAGGTGGTTACTGGGGAGATGTCCTCATAGGACTGTTTATCGAGTAAAATTGTGATGGCTTTTGTGCAAGCCTATTGTTTTTGCAGTCCTTTGTGATAGTTTTGCTGTTAGGCATACAAGCATGAGAACCTTCTCTTCATATCCTTCCCTGGCTCTATTTGTCAAGGTGATTTTTATTTAATTTTTATTTATTTATTTTAACACAAGTGACTCCATTTAAATACTGGCATTTTCACATGTTGAAACTCTAATCTCAATGTTATGGTATTTGGAGCTGGAGCCTTAGGAAAGTTACTAGTTCATGATTGTGGAGCTTGCATGAATGGCGTTGGTGCCCCTATAAGAAGAGACCAGAGACCTAGCTTGCTCTCTTTACTCCAGGTAAGCACACAGCAGAAAGCTAGTTGTGCATAAACCAGGAAGAAGACTCTCACCAAGAATCCAACCTACCATCACCTTTATCTTGGACTTTCAACATCTAGAAATGTGGAAAATAAATATGTGTTGGTTAAGCCATTTAGTTTCTGTTATTTTGTTATAGTAGCATCAACATGAACTGATAGGACACTGCTTGAACCTAAATGATCCTGAGGAATTTTTGGTAACAACAATAATACCATTTTTTTTAATCATTGGTTATTCTCTGGGAAAATGTCATCTCTTTTAAACACTATAAGCATATATGTGTACATATGTTATCCATTGCTGCGTAACAAATTACTCTAACAGCTAATGGCTTAAGCAGCATATTTCTCACAGTTTTTGTGAGTTATAAATCCAGGCTCAACCTTTCTTGTTCCTCAGGTGTCCCCCAAAGTTACAATCAAGGTGTCTGATAAGGCTACAGTCATCGTAAAGTTCAACTGGGGAATGATCAGATTTCAAAGCTCATTCATTTATGTGGTTATTGGCAAGAATCAGTTCTTCGCAAGCTATTAGAGGACCTCAGTTCCTCACTGATCGTTCACTGGAGGATGCTATTAGTCCTTTGCTGTGTAGGCTTCTCCCATGGGGACAATCTGGGAAGATTCAGAGTGTGAATGACAGCAAGACAGAAGTCACAATTTTTAATAGCCTAATCTCAGAAGTGACATGCCCTCTCTTTTGCCATATTCCATTTGTTAGAAGCAAGTCAGTAGGTCTAGTCCACAGTCATGGAGAGTAGATTACAAAGGGTTCAGATAGCAAGAGGTGGAGATCATTAGGCATCATTTTATAAACTAATTATCACAATGTTTTTGTTCTGTTACAAACCTACACATTACTACTGTATAATATACATTACTGTTAGAAACATGAGTTAGAACCAGCATTCTTTTGTCCTTCTGATATGAAAAATCAGTTTGCATAGTTGGCTGTCAAAAATTTTGAACAAAAATGAACCTCTAGGCAATCATTCTTCTTCACATTGACCATTAAAGACAGCTGCCATCTGTCATAAATTAAATTTAAAAAGTTATAGTACATTCATAAAGAGACATATTTGGTAACTTTTCCTATTAAAATGTTGAGAGACACTTAAATATTTAAGAAGGGAAATGTAGTCCTAAAAAGAACTGATTCATTAGAGTAGACAATATATCCTTTTTGTAAAACTTTCATTAATTTTCAATATTGGATAGCACTGTAGTCAAATTGGAGGGACATAAGTAGAAACCAAAGTCCCTAGAGATCTCTACTAATTGTGATCCTAAGGCAAAATCATTAAGGCAAACTTCCTTTAATTAGATATATTTCCCAAGTTGGAGGCAGAATACTCAACAACTCCCTTGACTGTGGAAGCTATCTTAGCATTGATTGCTTTCTCTTTCACACTCAATCAATGAAGTAGGACTCCAGTTCAATCAGATGCATTTATTTCTTAGTATTTTTAAGTGTTTTGATAAAGTGAAGTTAAAATTTTCTTGAACTTTCCATCAAGAATGATAATTTTCAAAATACATTTCCATTGATTAGTGTAACTCTAATTATTTTTCTGTAGTATAATCTTAATTGTTTTTCTGTACTCAAACAAGACCCTCTAATCATTCAAGTGAAATATGGAATTGAGCACTGTAATCTTGTTAATATAGCACTGCATTAAGGGGGAGAAAAATAAATGTATATGCACATATTTAAAAATGATGATACTTCTATTAACATATACTATTTTATGCAATCTTCAAATTTCAAGGTGAAATAATTCAAAATTGCAGAACAGTTTACAAAAATGCCTCATGATTCTATTTCATACCTTTGGTGCTGAACTGGAGCCAAATTTGAAGTTCTTTGCATCCAGTACCTGTAAGTGGCAGAAAAGTTATTCTGAGGTGGCGACTAAACTGACATGCAGCAGAGCTAGCTGAATGCAATGTCCTATTATGTATTCGTGGTGATGCAATAGCTTTACAATAAATGTTTTCCCTAGAGAAACATTAGTTACTTTTCAACATTTAACCCCATTTTGTAATTTTGCTCCCTACTATTGTACATATCATCATATCTATCTTATACAAATGCATTGGTTGTTTTCCTACGCTTGTTCATCTTTGGTTTGCCTTGCTTCTCCCCCACCTTCTAATATTTCCTTCCAAGGGAAAGAAGCTCAGCTAGCATTTCATTTCTTTCCCCTCTCTGTCCCTTAAGCTAATTTGAGCAAGAGTAACTTAATTTGACTCATGATTTTGCAAGGAGAAACTTGGTGCAATCATCCCAGACTTCCCCACTCCTTCTCAGGAATGAAGTTTACATAGAGATAGCATGTTCTGCTCTGATCCTTCCCACTGTATGTTTTACGGGAGCACTGTAAACATTGGGAGCCCTGAAGAGATTTGGCACTATTATAGGTTTTAAGTCTATTTAATTCTTGGGATCAGTATAAAGAAGGCCAATTTCCTGCAGATTCTGCATGTTGTTTAACATCAGCTTATCAGTGATAAAGATGGTTGTTACATCCTCTATCTATCTATTTAACATCTTTGTTTTCTGTCTTATTATAAACTCAGGTGGAGAAACGAAGGGTATTACATATCGTACCAGCTTAAACCTCAATAATTCTTGTAATTAGTTATTTTTATTATGTTTTATAAGTTGTTATGGACATTACATTGAAAACCATTGAATTATGATTTTTCTATAAGCAAAACTTGCCAGAATCTAGACAGTTTATCACCTGATACCATTTGTTTTACTATAAGTATGCCATCTGAATTGAGATCTTGGTTCATGTATTTTCAATATTTATTTCTCGATTTTCTACCTTATTGCATTTTCTTCAACTTCCAATGATACAGGATGAAAATAGCATTCTCCTATTAAGTGGAAATGACTGTAGAATTTACTACTACGTATGACACAATTGAAAGACAAATTTATTTTTAAATATTAAGGATGTATTCTTCCATCCACTTTTATCAAGAAGTTGCTAAATTAATTTGGTTTTGGTCTTATTGTTATTTTATTAATAATATAAAATAACTTAATTCCTTAACTTCTTAAAAACAATTATTATTACGGTCTTAAAACCAATATAAAATGTATTTTTTCTCCTATCTAATATTTACTGTTTTTGAAAATATTTTTTAAAGCATAGCACATGGATGGCAATATTTTATGAGACAGCATATCTAAAAATATATTTCTATAATTTTCATGCTTAAAAATCTGTTTAACTATGTGCAAAATTTGAAATTGTATTTGAAGATTCAGCCACAGTATATTTATGGAGGTAATATGTTAATATTACAATGCTTAGTATAACCCTGTTAGCATCCTTGCAAAGAAGCTAAATGCCCATCCAAAGAGGAATTGTTAAATAAAATATATTGCATAAATTATTAGAAAATTATGCAGCCATTAAAAAGAAATAATTATATTCACTAACCAGGAAAGTGGTAAATTATAATTATTAACTGAATAAAAATGTCTGTCATATGTCCATCCATACATAAATATAAAATAAAACTTAAGATTTTTATTTCTTTAAAATGTGTGATTATACATATGTATGATTAATCTTAGTCAAAATATTCACTTTAAATTTTCTTTTTTAGGGAGTCTTCATGGGAATATTAGTGTAACTTTTGAAGAATCTGTATAAGGACTATCAGTGTATATTTTTAAATAGAACTTTGGAAACCTTTTTATTTGAAATTACATATTCCTACAAAATGTGTAACAACATGTGACACAAAATGTTCAGTTGTAGTTACTTCTGGGACTTATATTGGATGGCTATGAGGATGATATTCCAGTTCTATCAGCCATTAAAAATAAAGTATTATCTTAATGGTTTATAATTACTTATTATTTATATTAGTATTTTTCTAAGGTAATATATAAATAGCACCATTGTTATTTTACAATTTAAAAATCACTAAACTCAATTGTGTCTTATTTTTTGCAGCATTGTGACTATATCATCATTGATCATTAAAATAGTTTCTTTTTTTTCATTGCAATGTTAATTTGCATTTTTTAAATTTATTTTTCTATTTCTGCAAAATATGGGGGTACAAATATTTAGGTTACATATATTCTCTTTGCCCCACCCAAGTCTGAGCTTCAAGTGTGTCCATCCCCAAGACAGTACACACTGTACCCATTAGGTATGTCTATACCCATGCCCTCTTCCCCACTTCCACCTGCCTGACACCCAATGAATGTTACTACTATATGTGCACTTAAGTGTTGGTGGGTTAAGTCAGTTAATACCAATTTGATGGTAAGTACATGTGGTACTTGTTTTTCCATTCTTGTTATATTTCACTTAGTAGAATGGGCTCCGGCTCTATCCAACATAAAACAAGAGGTGCTAGATCACCATTGTTTTTTGTGGCTGAGTAGAACTCCCTGGTATACATATGTCACATTTTATTAATCCACTCATGTATTGATGGGCACTTGGGTAGTTTCCACATCTTTGCAATTGTGAATTGTGTTGCTATAAACATTCTATTGCAGATGTCTTTTTATAGAATGTCGTTTGTTCCTTTGGGTAGATGCCAGGAATGGGATTGCTGGATCAAATGGTAGTTCTACCATTGTAGCTCTTTGAGGTATCTCCATATTGCTTTCTGTAGAGGTTGTACTAGTTTGCAGTCCTGCCAGCAGTGTATGAGTGTTCGTATCTCTCTGCATACACACCCACATTTATTGTTTTGGGGCTTTTTGATAAAGGACATTCTCACAAAAGTTAAGTGATATCTCATTGTGGTTTTGATTTGCATTTCCCTGATGATTAGAGATGTTGAGCATTTTTTCATATGTTTGTTGGCCATTAGTCTATCTTCTTTGGAAAAGTTTCTGTCATGTCCTTTGCCCACTTTTCAATAAAGTTGTTGGGTTTTTCTTGCAGATTTTCCTGAGATCTAATACGATTCTATTCAGCCTTTATGCCATGTAGCATGGTAATATTTTCTCCTATTCTTTAGGTTTCTGTTTGCCCTCGTGATATTCCTTGCTATGCAGAAGTTTTTAATTTGATCAGGTCCCATTTATTTA